CTGGTAGCGTGTTAGAATATATGTGCCTGTGTGCAAGGTGAAGCGCTCCGGCGGCAGAGACATTCAAATTTAAATACAAATGTTGCACGTGCCCTCGGAGGTGTTTCTGTACAAACCTCCTGACGTGGCATATATATGTTTATATATATATATATTCTCAGATCCACACGTGTGTGTTGGCCTGTTTAGCTGGGTGTGGGTGGACTCATTTTGGTGATTGCGCTGCTAAGGTTTAATAAAGCAACACCAAGACGACGTCGAGGAGGACTATTACGGAGAATTGCTTGGAGAAATGGCAGCCATTCCGAGGAATCGAGGACTCCGGGAGCAGAGAGCCGTATCCCCTCGTATAATAAAGCGACTTACCGGCATAATTGGCAGCCGCAGCCAGAAATAAAAAGTGCGTGTACAAAATAAACGTAGCATAAGCAAAAGGCGCACCACACAAAACTTCAAATTGAAATGAAATGAAGTGTAAAGCGGCTTTAACCGCATAAAATCCTATGGGTTTACCCTGGCCAGGCGGAAAATGTGCCATTTTCTATGGCTTGGCGTTTTCCAGGTGAGAGTGGCAAGAGTGTATATAATTGTTTTCGGTGCGTTTGTTTAGCTTAATTAAAATGCCCCGTGCAAACACTAAAGTTTACTTGGCCCAGGCCACAAAAATGAAATATATACTATGTATACGCATCTACATAGAAATATATATACATATATAGGCTTTATCTTCTTTTTTCATTCGCAGTCGTTTCTTTTTTGGTGCCTCTAAGTTGCCATGGTGCTGTCCTCGTGATTGGTCATTCTGAGGAGTCAATGTCCTAAGACCTTTTCCAAATACAAATGCTGAGAGCCCAGGGAACTATTGAAAATCTAATATGTAAATACTTTAAACTATGACTAGAATGAATTTATTTGAGAGTTTATTGAGTTCTCTAGTTGTAATTTATTATGCTGTATACTTATTACAATATTAAACTTGGTAACAAGTACATAAATAGTTTCTTGAGCAAGAAGCTTGTGTCTGGTTTGATTATAACCATAATACGATTCACAGCCCAATGGAACGCAAATTCAATAATTAATTGCCATTAAATTACAAGGATGTAATGCATTCAGTTTGCTGTGTGAATCCACTTAAAGATATGATTATGCTTGGCCAAATGGTAAGCCTATTAATTGGGCTTTAAGTTGACTGTGTTTTTAAGGGAATTTATAAGATAAATATTAGTTTAAAATACTTTTTAATGGGTAAGTATTATGTGTGAATGAACTACAAATAACCGTTGTGTTTTAAAAACAGTACTGGATGAAATTATAATTTTATAAATAGATATTTTTTAAGTAAAACCCACTATTGATAAAGGAACCCTTTGGTATGGCCATAATAGCGGCTTGAGTTACCCATAAAATACTTCTAATTTTAACAATATTCCTACACGATCACGAATCCGGGGCATCTCTATGCCACCACCTGCTGCCTTTGGTGATGCTGTTGCTTTTGCTGTTGATGTTGCCGCTGCTGTTTACCCGGTTTTTATACAGCAAAAAGCAATTTGGCCTGCCAGCGAGTGGGCTTTGGTCCGCCCCTTCTTTGACAGCCTTTGTTGGCTGTCTGTCGGCTGGACGTCCTGCTCCTTCTGAAAGGATCTTCCCTTTTCCCATCCACCCCAAAACAAGCCATTTCATGCTGTTGTCGTTGTTGCAGTGCGGTGTTGACACCCCGCTGGCTTGGCACTTCAATTTTAGAACGAAAGCGGCGGCAGGAAGAGCATCAGAGTATCTGAAAATATATTTTCCCAGACGCCCAGAGGCACCCAGAACCACCCACAGCCACCCTCACCTGCCTAATGGTCTGTACTGGATGTTATAACCGGACATTGGCGACCATAACTCTAATGGACACAGAGTCGAGCGGTAGGGGGAATACCGCTCTTTTTTTTGGAACATAATCTAAGCTATTAAAATTCAGTTCTGGAGATGACAGTGCGTATACGTAATGCGGCGAGATTGGCCCAAAATTGTTTATTCAAAGGGCTGGCCTGTAATTGCCAGGCTTTGCACCAAAAAGAATATGGCCTTTTTATAGGTTAATAATTTTAGAGAATTTTTGCCAGACAGAATTTTAAATTCACCCTTTCGTTTACTCTGGAATTCCTTAAGATAAGGCTCACAAAAGCAGCCGCAAAGACCGCATTCATCATCCATCATCCGCCAGCTGAAGAACCATCCGTTCCATCAAACACATACCATTTTTGCTAATGATTGTGTGCCAGAAGTCTTCACCTCATCCTTAAGCGAAAAGGCGAAAAAGCGTTTTGCTGGCGGCAAGAGCTTCACACCCATGCGGAAAACATAATATTTTTGAATGGTTTGAGTGCCGGCGGCCTTGGTGGAAAACTTGTTCGTAACCATAGCATAGTTTTCCACGCTTTCCCACCCAAAAACCCCCTCTCACTTTAATTAAAACGATGAACAAACACGAGGCAAGAATGTGGAGCTTATGGCCATCAATCAAAATGACAAAAAAAAGGAGAAAACCAAGAAAAATAAATATGTTTGTTCGCCCAGATAATAATGTGCATTGACAAAGCCTCGTCAAGTATGCAAAGGCATTCGGATTCGACTGTTTGCAGCTGTCGAAAATGAAGAGACCATAAAATGTTGCCGCGAGCAGGGACAAGGCGAATGAAATTTATTGCCCTGTTGTGATAAACGTGACGCGCTGTGCCAAGGGCCACGCCCTCACCGAAAAGGGGCGGGGACGACCAGGACATTTTACAAGTGCCTTTTACATTTGATTTGTGTGTGTGTTGGTGTGTGTGGGTGTCGTCCTGCCAAGGAAAAGCAGGCATTTTCCGCATTCGAACTGCCGACAACAGGTTAATGCGAGCCATGCGGGCAGGGGCTTTTTGAATAATGAGGCCAGATTGATGATCTTTAATGGCTGAACTCGGGCGCAAGTTGGCCAAATTAAGTTGTTGGTAAAAGTGGCACCCACTTAGATAAATCTCCTCTCACAAATTAGCCTTTATGACTATTCCCAAAAAAGTTTTCTCCACAGTTTCCATAACACATTTATAGCATAGACTATAATACTTTTATAAATCTTTGCAGTTTTTCTTTAGTTGTAATTGTTTAGCAATTGTTGTAAACATTATGAATAAATTTAAAAGAAATCTTTATTGTAAATTACAAAATTATTAGTAAATAGTTATAAAAAATACTTATCTTTATTAATACATATAGAAGTACGAGTATAAACATCTGCAATGTATTTTTTTGGTTAACTTCTATAAATTCCTATTTAATCTAAGCAATAAATTAGCTTATTTTACATACATTTTCTTTAAACAAATTGTTTATTTTGAAAAAACATTGATTTAAAATCAATTTAATCTTCCCAAAATCGGAAACGGAAACGGTAGCGGGTAGCATTGGTTATTAAAATCTACCTGGAGGCCAGAGCCAGAGGCAAAGTTCAAATGCAGTAAAAGCCCTAAACGGATAACTGATAACCTAGAAAAGCTGCCCTGACAGAGGAAAAAGTTTACGTTCAAGGTTCAATCAACTTAGCCCGGGATATTTGCTCAAATTCGTGTCCAACGTGGCGTATGCTCGACATTGGCCCTCACAATGTTTCAGTTAGTGGGGGATTCCCCTTTCTCCCCCTCCCCCTCTTCTCCAATCGCTTTGCTAGCCTGTTTTGACATTTTTCCATCTCGCTTTTTTCGGCTTTGTTTCCACCATTTTTCGGACCGCGTTTTCGCCCGTGGATTTTCATACCTTTGCGCCTTGTTGCAGCTGTTGCCCGAAATAAGCCTAAAAGGTAGAACATTTACCCGGAAAAAAAGTGAAATTCCGCCGTAGTTCCAGCAACTGCATTTGCATTCCATTTTTTCTAGCTTTTTGTGGAAATTTTGCAGTTATTTTTTTCACCATTGAGCTGCCAAAGCCACAGAGCCAGTTGGCCAGTTTGAAGGCTTAGATAAGGACTCTTGGAAATTGATGCGCGATTTCTTGCTCTCAATGGGCCTCTGTTTCTGGCAGCCAACTTGGCCTGACGTTAAGGTTCAGTTGGTGTGTGTACTTAAACTTAACCTCACGATTTTGGGCCAGAAAAGCATAAAAAGGAAAGAAAACCCCCTGGATATACGGGGCGTATACATCACGTGAATGTGACTACTGCCTCCTTTTATCCCACATTTTCTGAGACGGCAATAATCGTAAAATAAAAATTCTTGCAAAGGCAACGGAAGGTGACCAAGATACCCTTATCAAATTAAGCATATTTGTTGGAGGTTCCTGCACAGAGAGAAATATCCAAGAAAATTGTTCTTGAATTGAGAACATTCCTTCTTGAAAACCGAGTAAGTACATTTGGTTCTTAATATTAGAACAAAATGGTGAGAAGAGAAAAGATAAAATGAGGTTATTAAACAACTTTTAAGTGTACACTACGGACTGAACTAATATTTTATTTGTTGAGATATATAATGTTAATAAATACCGTCAATTCAACTTGATTCGAGCAAAATTAAAACATTTTCAACTTTAAAATGTCGTTCCTATTTTAAGAACGTTTTCAACTCAGATGAGAATTTCAGAATTTTCTCAGTGTGTAGTAAATTTATCAAATATTCTAAAAATATTCGTTTCTATCCTTAATAATATCCTGCGGCCAAAGTGTATTAGCCATTGATGAATGGTCAAAGTTCAAAGAGCGCGAATCGCGATGGGGAATGAAAATAAATATAAAATTAGCAGTTAAGGTGGGGAAGTCGTCATGCAAACGCGTTAAAATGCGAAATTCAATTTGTTGGAGCAGAAAACGGGCAAAGGGCAGAAAAGGCATGCCGCAGAAATTCGGTTGGTGAAAAATGTGTGTGTCTGTGGGTGGGTTTTTGGGTATTAAAGTGTGTCGCTTTAAAGGCGGGAATTTCGCCTTTCTCGGCACTCCGGAATAAAGAACAAGGATTCGGGACTAAGGACTAAGGACTCACCACAATGCGCCTGACACGTGTCATTTTGCGGTAATCGCCCAGCTTGAGGCCTGGCAGGCGAACAATTTCCCGGGATTTGGATATGAAGTGGCGAGCAGGGAAAGCGAAACCGGCGGCAGGAGCAAAAGTTTTTCCTTTCCTTTCCGATTTCCTTTTTCACTTCTGATTGCCGCCTGTCAGTTGCAGTTGCTTTCTCACAATTAGCGACGGCAAATGCAAAACTTCCAAACCGCAGGATACTTTCAAAAGTGGTTCAAACGAACTTGGTTTTGTTTTTTTCTAGATCACCATTCACTATTTACTTGTCACTTTTTGAGTTTTCACACGTGAAAAGTTAATTGAAAATTGCAACTATTAACGAGGTTTTGAGGAAAATTGTTGAGTTTTTCGCCTACTTCTTGCCTCGTTCGTATTTTTTTCGTAGCGCCTGGCCGGATTTTCTTTGGTATCGACCGCTGCGCCAAACGTCTCAGATGAAACTGAACGCTTCCCGAGATTCGGAGGCAGATGAAATACCCCTGGAAAATCCGTGCGGCCAGGCCAGGAGCAACAACAACACTGCGGCAAAGAGCGCAACTGCTGCTCTCCGGCTCTCTCGCCTGACTTTTGCCTCCGCTCTTAGCGGCGCTCCACTGCGTATACGTAACGTCACAACCAAACCAGCTGTGAGCACAGTGGTGCAAAATGCAATTTAAAATATTAAAATAAATTCAAATTTAAAAATTATTTACTTGTACAATTACTTCATTACAAGCTGGAACTATGTTTTAAGGTGAATAACACTGGAGTAGCGACAAGCAGTCTTTGACTGCAATCAGTCGAATAAACACAATAAACAGTCGAATTCACTCAGAAAAAAAATCAATTACTTCGCGCTTTAATCAATTATTTTCGGTGTCAAAGCTTCGACAAGTATGGAAAATACAGAACCCGACCACAAAATGCAACTTTCAAGCACGAATTTTAAAGACCGAAAATACTACGTTTCTGAATATTTCGGTCTACAACAAGGTATGAATAATTCTTAAATCTAAAAACAAGAACGATTTAACAATAAAGTTGCAGGCATGATTCAAGGACGAATAATTCTTAAAATAATATACATAGGTATTTTATGTTCAAATTGGATTTTAATTATATGCTAGTAAAAGAAATGAGTATTACAAACAGTAGTAAACGAGATATATCTTATTAATATTAATATTTTAAGCTTACTTAACACTTAACACTGTGAAATTGTTCTTAAATCAAGGCTGTTTGTGCTTGATTTTAACACGGTGTTTTTCCGTGAGTGTAGTTTCTCACTAAAACCAAAGATGTGTATTTTATATATTAATACTTGTGAAAAACTATAAATCGATATTATTGTCTATAAAAAATAATTTAAAATAATATATATTATTTTAGTACACAGAACTTAAAAAATTGTTAAAATAATAAAAAAGTTGTAGCTTTAGGAATAATAAGAACGAAAGTTACACAAGAAAAAAATTGTTGAATATCCTTAATCATAAAATAGGCTCCTTGTTTCGTATTCATCTGTTTTCGTATTCTTCTGTTTCATAAAATAGTGTAGTTCCACTTTTCAACTAATCTTAGCCCACTGTCTTAATAATTTTAGTACTTCCCCAGCTTTCTGCCAGTGTAAGAGAGATGGCAAGAGAATTTTTTTTGTTACCGCTGAGAGAACGAGTACAGAGAGTGCTTCCTTTTTGCTTTATAAAAGTTTTATTTTCCCCAAAACAAATTGCAGAGGCAAAAAGTAAGGCACGCGGACAGCCAGAAACAGGGAGTTTTCGGGAGCGGAAGGGCAAAAAGGAATTCGGCTGGAGTGGAAGGTTAGAGTCCAGGAAGAAATTTGGGGGGTGGGGGGGTGAATTCTGGATAAGTGGGTGCCTCTGCATGGGTGTGTGTGCCTTTATTAGGATGTGTGTGTGTGTGTTTGTTTGAGAGTTTGTTTATCTGTTTCTTTTGTTACATTTTCTGTGAATTTCACTGTTTTTTGTGTGTCTTCTTGGTGGAGAGCCAAGCGGGCTGAAGTCGAGAAATGCAAAAATCAAGCTACGCAAACTTGTTGATGAAAAACCCGGGCGGGAAACTCTCAGCTGGGCTTTAAAACGAGGAGAGTTAGTTTCCACGTGGAAGATAGTGTGTGTGTGTGTGTTCTTGGTTTTGGTAGCTCAGCGCAGTAAGGTGGTCTATTTACATATGTATGTATGCCAAGAAACAACATGTTGATTTTACACGTGCTCAACTGGGGCACCCAAGTGCACAAATGGAAAACTGCGTCTGTCTGGGATCTGCATTAATTAATTAACTTCACGCTAATTGCATTTTAATTGCCTAACGAGGGAAGACAGGATCTGAACCGGAAAATGATTTTCATTGTTTTTTGTTGCTAACTCTTTAGTTACAGGAAATTGTTTTGCTGGCAATTAAAGGTCAGATTTCATCGAATTAGGGTTAAGTTTTAGGGGTTGGATTAAGTCATAATTATTGAAGGCTATAGGTTTCGGAAAAAAGTAAAACCCTTTTTAGGAAAAGAACATATACTAAATAGACAGATAGATAAATGTAAAAATAAATTAACTTATGTCAAGATATTGTTATACCAACGCAAAAGAGGACACGCTTCAAACCCCAAAATTACTTATATTCTTGGTCAGCATTACTAGACAAGTCGTCTAGGTAGTATATATGTAAGTAGAACAAATTTTAAAAAGGTATGTCTTTGGCGTCTTTTGACATTTATCGACAGCTGGTAGACAGCTGTCATCAGTCAAAACTAGGCTGTCATCAACAATTTATCGATGACAGCAGCTAGGCTGTCATCAACAAGTCATATATGACAACATCAAGGCTCAAAACTTTTTATTTATTTTTTGGTAAAACTTATAAGCTGGCTACTTGAAATAACACATTATATTAATATTTCTGTGATTTTTTTATAACTATCTACAAATCGGAAGGCTCTGTATAAACATTGCTCCAATAGGAACGAACTGCAAGTGTACCTAAACTTCGATTTGCCGAAGCTAGCTTCCTTTTTTGTTAATGGTAAAATAAATTTAAATGTTACGAAGTAGATGTTATACTATGGCAAAATAAATCTATATTACTTTTGAAATGTATCTAAATGTTTTTAAAGTGAAGATTTATTTGTACAAAAAAATTAGTAGGAAAGAAGTCATCAAGCTCTAACCTATTCTGACGTTGCTGTTTTCTATACACAAAAATGTATACATACTTATAAATAAATATGCTACCAAGTTATTTCTTCTAAAGAAAGATATCACCCAAAAATTCGATTATATTTTGAAACCTTTTTTTAGAAACTGTTTACCTACTAAATTAAAATACCATCAAAACAGAACGAACTTAAACTCAAACCAATCGATGGCAGAACGGAAAATTCCAGCACCGATTAAGCCTCATATGCGTGTTTCCCGTGCCCTTTCCCCCCTCTGGATTTTTCTTACTTTTCTGCCTTTCCGAGTCGAAAGTTATCCACTAGTACTGCTGCTGGCCGGATTGTTTTGCTGTTGTCTTTTGCTTAGAATGGCAGTTCCGGTGAAGGAGCCGCAGCAGCGTGCCCAAGTGGCCCGAACGGGGATTTCCCAGTCGCCCCAGCCACGTGTAATCCTTTGCTGCCCTGTGACCCCATCGGTCGTCATTCCGATGGCCCCCTTGGTCTGCTTGGTTCCCTTGGATCCCTTGCCCCATGGTGCCTTCATCACATTCTTTTGGTATTTTTAGGCTTCCCTTTTCGATCTCTTCCATTGTTGGGGTTTCTTGTTTTGTTTGGGCTTTGATTACTTTAAGTTTTGGTTTTCGAATGATTGGCACAGCTCTGATAGCTCTTTGATGTAAATGATAGCCGGGGAGGATTTCAGCTGGGATATAGGAGCTTTAAATTTGCATAGAAACCGACCCCTAGCTGGAAATCCCAACCCGAGGGCACGGTGTGGTTCATATCTCATTTCATAATTACGCATTTCCTCTAATTGGCGGAGTTGGACCGTGAATTGTGGCTGGGCATTCAATTTGAATATTATGCCAGATTAGTTTCTCCCCTGAAATGTGCATAATAGTTTATCATAATTTCATAGAGTAGCCACATTAAGTCCCACACAACTGCATTCGAATGGCTGGCTTTTTTCAGTGACTTTCGCGCAAATGAATCGATGATAAATGTGGCTTTATAGGGAATTCTTAACGCTAACATCAAATGTTCAAAGCTCTTGAAAATGTCGTTAGAACTAAACAACTGCAGATTCAAGAAAGCGATTTTAGCTTTTGATTTGGTATAGCTCATTTTAACCTTAGTTTGAGTATTCTTATAAATTTAATTACTAAAAAAAGATCCCTAAATATATAACTACACCGAACTAGAAATCATTGTAAGTAACCTGTTTTATTTAATTGTTAAAAATATAAATTGTATGCTTTAGAATATTTTTTTCAGCCTCTGCTTTTAAAATTTAACTTCAATTGTGGCGCTGTGCAATTTAGACACTGTAAAATTAATTTTAAAATAAAAATTATGATAATATGATGATGATGATGATTATGACTCTAAATTATGTCAGGGTACTGAAAACTCTAATAATCCATTAAATAATGATATAAATAAATGATGCCTAATAAGATGATTTATGCAGCGCCTTAAAGCTATGTATATCATCATAGTTATATTATTAAATTATGTAATAAATTAAATTCTTTGGAGAAGTTTTTGAGTGATACCAGCGTGTACAGGAAAGACATTTTAGTCTAGAAAAAGTTTAAAAGGTTGAACTTTTTTGGCTGTAAGCTAGTGTAAATTTAAATACTTTGAAATCATTTTTATAAAATCTTTAAAGAGTATCTCCGCTTCGTTTCAATCTAAAAGCTACAATCTGTTTTTCATTGCATGGTTTTTATGGTCAAGCTGCAGCACTATTTGCTGACAATTAACATTTTATGAGTTTTATTTTTTCCCGCTTTTATATCGCCCATTCCAGAACTGACTAACTGGCTAATCAAGAGTTAATCCCTGGCCCTCCCCCCCACTTCCTTACCACCGATGAGGTCATAGTTGCGACTCTGGACCGACGCATAATAATTAGCCACCAGCGTAATTTGCCTCAATTTATGCGCATATATTCGGCAAAGGACCATACCAAGCCTTTTGTTCAATTTATGCCCCACATTCTGCGATTATAAATGCTTAAACGATGGAAAAACTAGAGGCAAATGTTTGAGCAGAATTTGGCTTCCGGTTTTAATTGTGGCCAGTGGCACAATGGTTGGACAGGAAGGCGTCAGTATCTTCTATATCTATATGGAATCTGCCTCCGTTGCCTTGGAAAATGACAGCTTGTGGAAATGGTCGACGCTTTCTATTATTTGCCATTTCAATTGCAAATTAACTTTGCAGTCCAATGTCTGACAATGCCAAGCTCTTCCTCGACATGTGTGCGAATGCTTTACAAATAAACGAGTATCTAGATACATATATATATCTGTAAAATATATATTAAC